GGGAATAATGAGGGCAACAAATGTATAGATGTGCTTTACACAATTGATCTATGTATTGTGATGAATTGTATGAGCCCCAATAAATTGATTTAAAAGAAAAGAGTGTAATGTACAGGCTTAGGTGGTATCCTGAGTCAATATCCTTGGAAGCAGGAAAGAGGTTTAAAAAGTGAAGAGAGACCAGGGAGTCTAACTACAATCAAGAAAGAAAAGGTGGGAGCAGAGCACATTCTTTGGACCTCAGTAAGGTTCCTGCACTGAAAACCTCCTGCATCCAGAGGAAGATTCAAAGGAATGCCAGGCTCACAGATGTGGAAAGGAGGCAGGGGCCTTTCCAGAGTTGACAGAAAAAACCTCAGGGGCTCTGAATTTGGATTTCTAGTTTCCTAAACGGAGAGAAAAATGTCTGTTTGCTAAAACGATCTCCTTGTGGTATTTCTAAAAGAGGCCTGGTAGCAGCGTGGTTATGCATTGAGCTGTAGTTCGCAAGTTATGCAAGGTCAGCAGTTCGAAACCACCAGCAGCTCCTCAGGAGAAAGATGGGGATTTCTAATCCGGTAAAGAGTTACAGTCTGGAAAGCCACACGGGCAGTTCTACTCTGTATTGTAGTGTTGCTAAGAGTTGGCATCGATTTGATGGCAGTGAGTTTTTTAGTGGTATTTTTGCTGTTAGACCACTAGAAAATTAAATAACTGCTGATCGGATTGATGGACTTATGGTACCAACTACATTAAATCTCAGAGCGTAACTCCAAAAGCCTTTTCTGAATCCCCATGGCGGAGTAAGGGGTCCATGTGTGTGCTATAGTTATCCTTATAGTCATCCCTTATTTTAATATTAATCATCCTCTCTGATGGTGTGTACTCAAGTTTCTGAAACCTCACTAGTATGGAGTCTTGCCTGCAGTCACTACGGCCTGTGCCTTACATGGTGCCTCAACAGCAGTCCACTTGAATTTGTGTTTACATTGGCACAGGACAAGAGCTGTGCTGAAAAAAAAATATGAAAATAAAATCAAAACTATTTTTTGATATCTAAATGGTGGTGATTACTGTCAATGGTTGTCAGGTTGATTCTCACACATGTGATGTATGCAGAGCAGAAATACCCTATAGTACCAGGTCTCAACCTGTGGGTTCACGACCCCTTTTGGAGTCGAATGACCCTTTCACCGGGTTGCCCGATTCCTAACAGTAGCAAAATAGAGTTATGAAGTAGCAACGAAAAAAGTGTTATGGTTGGGGGTCACCACCACTTAAAGAACTGTCTGAAAGGGTCGCAGCTTGAGGGAGGTGGAAAACCACTGGTCCAGAGGGTTTTTAAAGCTTTGATTTTTTTGGAAAAACATTGCCAGGCCTATCTTCCAAAACACCCTTGGTGGGTTTGAACCACCAAATTTAGCTAGTAGCCAAGTGCTTAATCATTTGATAACAGGCTTAAAAGAACAACACCCATATTACTTCTTTCTTACTTCTTGCAGAAAGTCCTTAAGAAAATAACGAATGTCCCGTAACAGGTGCCATTTGCACTAGCCTGCTAATAGAAAGACTGGTAGTTCAGAATAAGGTCTGGCAATCAATCTGCTGCCATAGAACTGCCAAACCAGAACATCCCCTGGGGCATACCTACTCTGACACACACTGGTCTACATGAGTTAAAATCCACTCAGCAGCAATGATGGTGTTACCGTTTGTAACGGTAAGCTATCATGATTATCATCATCATCACTGGAGTCCCGCTGAGAGGAGAATGAAACAAGGCAGGTGCTTTTTTTAACTGTAAAGTTCTCACTATTATCATTATTACTGGGCTCCTGCTGAGAAGAGAGTGAAACAAATCAGGTGTTCAGGAAGCATCCTTAAATTCTGCTTCCTGGGGGCCTCATATACCTGATACCAGTGCTGGCCTGTGATGCCTGATGGGCCCAAGGTCACCAGAGTGCTGATAGAGCACCAGGGTTACTTTGCTCAGAATAAAATGAATGAATGCCAGATTCTACCGCGCTTCCTCACAACTCCCCAGTTTAACCCGTCCTCGGTGAATATCCATGAACTGCAGCATCCAGGAAACGAAAGCCTAATTGGACTGCTACTAACGTCAGATATGACATTATCACCTGGGTCAGATGGAGCCATCTGGACAAGACTCCTCTGTGGAATCAATCAATATTGCCCCAGTTTTAAATGTTCCTAAATCCCCCATTTGCTGCTGGAAGCTGTGTTTACCTGCTCAAGGTAGCTGATGAGGGCATTTTTATTGTCCTCCCAGTAGCTCTTCAGAGTCTCTTCAGGTGGGAACTTTTCACAGCTAAGTTCCACGGTGATCTCAAAGCAGTTGCTGCTGAGGTAATTGAAGTCTTGCATTCCTGCCAAAGCGCCAAATGGAGAGTCAACATGTACACTGGTGACTAAAACTCTACACGGGTCTTTTATTGAACTGAATACCAAGTAAAAGAGCAAAAACCAAAGAAGTGCATTTTGTGGACCTGGGTGATATGAATGGCAAACCTACTCAGCTGCTAACCAAAAGATGGAATTAGAATTCACCTCGAAGCAGAGGAGGGAGAGACATGGTGATCTAGTTTGGAAAGCCATACATTCAAAGCGTGGAGCACAGTACATCCCTGACACACTCAAGGGCAGCTGGGTGTGGTGAATGGAAAATCCCTACTGCAGGTGCCCAGCGCACTGTCAGGTTTTCAGCTCATCATTTGACTTAATGCATTGCCGCGTTAGGGCGCTAAAGTGAACGTCAGCCAAGGTTCACATTCATCATGGGAAGTTCCACATGACCGGACTAGCTGGGCTTCAAGGAGATGGGTCGCTACTGACTTATTAAAGAAATACATAGCCCTCACTTGAAACGTTATTTTGTTCCCGAACTTTCTTAAGTTCAACCACCATCTCTGGGCTTCAAGTCAATATGGATGCAGAGCAACTCTCTAGAGCAGAGTGGACCTGTTCCTGTAGAATTTCTAAAGGTATGAATCTTTACAGAAGCAGCCTGTCGCATCTTGCTCCTTCCAAGCAACTTGTGGGTTTTAAATGTTGAGCTTGCTTTTAGCAGCAGAGAGCTTTAACCACCTATTAATTCAACAACCCAAATGTCTACTACATAACAGAAGGCATAGTGCCCACCCACTCACTCTCACTTTCACTGTCAAGTCAAATCTCACAGTGACCCTACAGAATGCAGTACATCTGCCCCTGTGGGTGTCTTAGACTGACATTCTTCGAGAGAGTAGAGCGCTCATCTTTCTCGCACAGAACACCTAGTGGTTTTGAACTCCTGACCTTGCAGTTTGCAGGTCAGCACTTAACCACTACTTTAAATTATGCCAAAGCAAAGATTCCACCTGCAGAACAATGTTTATTTTAATCTGATTCAAATGAGTAGTAGTTGTTGTAGGGGGTGTCTTCATTAGGTTGTTTTTAGGGAGTCTGCACATCATTCCTCAGCTGCTGTGAACTCCCAAGAACTTATATTTAGTCCCCAATTGTTCTGGAGAATTGTTGATGGCTTGGGAGTTACCTTCCACTCTCCAATGCCAGCCTTTCCAAGGCAGCCCATAGTTAATGACTGTCCAATATAGTGCAGCAAAAGCTGGTGCCCCTTCCGTAAAGAGGAAAAAGTCCCTGCCTGTGTCTTGCACCCTGAGTGTTCCACCCAATGGCTCAGAAAAAGGCTGGACTCTCCTAGGCCACATCCTAACTCGCCTCCCAGCTCTCATTTGCTCAGCTTCCCCTCCCTTCATGAGGAAGCACTGCCTCAACAAGTCCCAGTCTCAAATTCTGTTTCCAGGAAAACCAACCCAAGAGAATAATGTTATTCATTTCCTAACTAGCTAGAGACAATCAGAGCATTGTTGTTTGGTTATTGTGGGATATAATCATTAACTAAAATGAACAGTATTGTTACTATTTTATTGATAAAAATTACTTGATAATCTGGAGACAATGAACTCTTTGTGCAAAAAAAACAACAAAAAAAGGTTTGCTCAAAAGAAGTTTTCACAAGAAGCATAACAATTCATCTCATGGGATTTATTTGGCATGATTTAAATTCTAAATCTAGCATCTAGATTTATTTCCCAAGATACAGAGGGGCAGGGGATGGTCAGAAATAGAACTAAACCTGATCTAGCCAAATACAAAACAGTAAACTTAAAAGAAAACATATATCGGGGGGAAAAAGAATTTGGACGACTGTTTTTCTCAGAAAATAATTAACGTAACCAATTATTAAAGAAGCTCAAACCCTACAGTTAGCTAATGTCATTATTGCTCCAATTCTCACTCCCATTTCTAAATGAGTTGTTAAAAATTACTCTTAAACAATGAGATTTTTTTAAACTATGCCTGCATTTCATTCTTCATCCCCAGCAGAGGACAAATATTGCCCCCATTTATGATAAAAATAAGAGCTCTGTCAAGTTCATGTTTAGGATGCAGGAGCCAAGAGCCGTCTTGGGTGTCTCGGGCAGGGCTTTCTCTGGCTGCCATCTGTTATCCAGCTTTCTCCCTTTTCAGACCCTGAACCTTGACAGCTTCCCAACCTAACAATAATGATAACAGTAACCCAAAACCAAACACACCGCTATTGAGCTGATTCCCACTCATAGCAACCCTATATAAGTTTTTGAGACATAAATCTTTACGTGATCAGAAGCTTCATTTTTTTCTCCCTTGCAGCAGCTGGTAGGTTTAAACCACTGACCTTGCAGTTAGCAGCCCAATGGCTAATCCACAGCCCCAAAGGAGCTCCTCGATAACATGTGGAATAAAAAATACTAAAGGCTCCACCTCAAATAGTCCCTAAAGTTCATGGCTTTAAAAAAAAAGTGTACAAAAATGTATGCCCCCTAAAATATACATTCTCCCATAGTAAAAGCATATAGCATACAATAAAGAAGCTTAATTTTGAATTATTACTTTTTTTAAAAAAGAGGCTTAATTTTAAGGCCAGAATTTTAAACCTAGGACAATTACTAATATTCCACTTATATTTGCTAATGAGTGTCATTATCTCTTTAGTTAGTTAGTATCATGGCTTTGAATCGGTTCATTGCGGTTTGACTCCCTGCTGAGAATTTTCTTTTTCCGCTCCTTATATATTGAACTAGAATCTTTTAAAAAGATCCCAGAAGTAGAAGTGGAATCTACACTTTAGCAAGATACATAAGATCCCCATACTTAACATAGACATAGCAATCACCTGCAGATCTTCAAGAATCATTTAGGAATCTTGTTAAAATATAGGTTCTAATTCAATATATCTGCAGAAGAATTGCAAATTCTCAGCAGGGGGTCAAACAAGAATAAACTAGTTCAAAGCTCTGTTCAACACTGCTTAAAAATCAACAATAAAAATAAAACTATATATTGTAATCATTCATGTAAAAACTAACTTTAATGTACAAAGTGGTTCGGTTTATTCATTAATAGTCTATTATTAATGATGGAGTCATCTCACGTACTTTAAACATGCTATCAGGAGAGATCAGTAGCCAGATAAAGGACATTATGTTTGGTAAAATAGAAAGGCAGCAAAAAAGAGGAAACCTCTCAGCAAGATGGAATGACACAGTGGCTGTAATAGTGAGCTCAATGGGCTCGAGTATACCAATTGTGAGGATGGTGCAGGACAAGGCAGTGTTTCCTTCAGTTGTACATAGTAAGGTCACTATGAATTGGAAGTGACTTACTTTATGGTACCTAGCTGCAGAAGTCTGAATCAACTCAATGGCAGTGGTCTACTCCCATTATATACATTACAATATATCCATTACGTTTATATCCTCTGCAATTTTGGAGAGAGAAATGGAAACTCACCTCCTGGGACACTGTACCAAGCACCACCATTGGTTGTCCCATCTACAAAGCTGCTGTCATCGTCATTCTTGCGGCATGGGGGTCGACTGGAGTCAGACATGGCTGGGTTGAAAGAAGAGTATGCCCGAGCCAAGCTCTGGAAAATGACATCATCGGGGCAGGAGCTGTATTCATGAGCACTGCCTGGAAAAGAAACCACCAAGATGGGAGAAGTGGACTCAAACCAATTAACACTGCATGTTCTCTGAATCCTGACTCAGTTTGAGTTCTTGTTTACATATTTTTTCACTGTATCAGGATGGGCCAGGGTGAAGGTTTAAGTTCTCAACAACTTCTTTGTTTGGTGAAAACACTGTCATTCCACCTACACATGTAAAGGTTTACAAGAAGAAGTTATGCACCAGACCTGGAGTAAGGTGGTTCCCATTATTAAACTTTCTGATTTAGAAACTGCCCTTTTCTCCATACTGTTCTCCAACTCATCAGTATCAGCATCTATGATTTTTTTTTTTAAATAAACCTCTAAACAATTTTTCTTAATTTAAAATTTTAAAAAACTCAATGTGTTATGGAAATTAATCACACAAATTTTATACCCTGTATTCTTATCATACATTATAAAATTTGCCAGGACTATGAATTTATCATTTACAGATTAAAATCCCTAAATTTTAAAATATGAAAAAAATATCTAAATTTCTTTAGCAATTATTTCACCCAAGACTTCCTTCAAAACTCAAAGTTTTCAGTAACATTTAAAATTATGGTGCTTGTGTTTATAAAGAACTGACTCTTCAAAAACCCCTGAGAATGGTTCCAAAGAAGGAAATTTCTTGGTGCTACAAAAGTTAATTTGAAAAGACCTATCTAGCTAAACTTTGCTAACATTAGCTAGAGAAAGCCAAGCACTACTCCCCCTCCTTGCTGCCCCAGAGCAGTTTCATTTACAGACACATGTATACAGATACAAAGAGACCAAGATCAAACACACCAAAAGGCAACCCCCATTTTAAGCCACCTTGTAAACCATCTACTACATTCGATAACCTGTCTAAGTACCAGAAATGACTCATGTTCATGGCCATTTTTTCTTCTTTCGAAGTATTCTGTCCAGATCATGCTTCATGTCAATGATCCCTACTATGATGCAGGCTGGACCTAATCTGGTTTCCAAATTTTTCTCTTTTTTTATTTTGTAATGTTTTGTTTGTACATATTACGGTGCATTTCTGAGGTGTTATGTCATTGGAGGTCAAGCTCTTAAAGTGGTGTTATATGTTTTCCCGATTTTTGGTATATGAAACCCAGGAATGATGAGCCTGTGAGACAGCAAGTAGAATAAGGGATCAGGGAGGAGGCGGTACAGTGGTGGTGGGAGGATAATAGGGAGATGATGTCAAGGAGTCAGGTAGAAAAAGAATGTTTGGAAACTGATTGTGGTAGCAATTGTACAATTCTATGGATGTGATTGAACTATGGAACGATATGATAAATGTATTAAATCCCTATTAACAACAACAAAAGGTTATGCTTCACTTCAACTAAACAAGTGAAAAGTATTACAGCCCTTTTCTGACAAATAGTTACTCTAACACCATCTGAGAGAGTTTGGATGTTTCTGTTGGTTACAAGTTTCTCCAGGCAATATCACTTAGTGACCAAAGTCCTTTCAAGGAGAGGTCAGAAATTACTCTACCAGTCCTTCATAATAACTGAAAACTGGAGTCAATTAGGATCAGAAAAGACACCTACCAGTCCTTGTCTCATCGTAGGGGTAGTTGGCCACGAGGTCTCCACCATGGAGATTGGCAGAGAGGACGAAGGGGACATCCATAATCCAGTGGATGACAGCCTTGGTCTCCGGAGCGAGCTGTGGTAAAGACAACAGATTTAAAGGAGCATATGCTTTTGCAACCATTGGTGTGGTCACTTAACTGACAGAAAGAAAAAAAAAAGAAGAAAGGCAAAACAACCAGCAGCCAAAATTTTTTAAAAAAGAAACAAACTGAAAACTGGTTGGATTGTGAACACTATGTGGCTATTTTCATCGGAAAGGAAAAATGGTTCTGATCAGGCTGTGTTCCCCATCTCTCTCTTTCTCAGACTTAATCATTAAAAATGTCTTAACAGTTTTTAAATTCCCCTAGAAGTTATACTTGTGGGTTGCTTATTTTTCTCTATGGCTTGGAAATGACCATGCAAATCACTTCCAAAATTGGGGGCATCTGCTCCCTGTTGGCTCTCACATGTCTTTGCTAGTAACAGATAAAGATAAAAGAAGGAGAAAAGAACATGGCTGCATCATAGAATAAGATGCTTCATCTATACTGGTTCAACACTGTTCTGAAAATATGTGGTATATTATCCCCCTAGTTCTGCTTACTATTTCTCTAGTTTTTCTCAACTATAAGTATTTTCTCTGTAAAAGAATATTTGATTGGGTGTCTTTCACAATTATCTATAAAACATACATTTACTTTGGGATAACTATCTTAAATATTAAAATAAAGCAAAACTTTCAGGAATCTAAAATGGGTCATAGTCCCCTCATACACTGGAAGCAAAACAAAGGAAAGAAAGAAATATATAAAATAATTAATCTGAAGCTAAAACCTGATATTTTTATATGATGCGCTTTTAATCGTAACTAGTGAGTATTCCAAACTCCCAAGTAACTCTCTGACAGAAAACGCTTTTAATAAAGAGCTGATCTTTATGTTATTTGGGACAGAAAATCTAACTATAATGGGTGTGTGATTTTTATGATAAGAATGAGATCTGATATTACAAAACTAATCACCAACTTCATATGGAAAGGAAAGAAACCCAAGTAAACAAAATAATTATTTAAAAACAACCTATTATATAGCCATGGTATTCCAAACATCTTGGTATTGATACTACAATAGACATAAAGACCAAAGGATTAGAATTGAGAACCCAGAAATACAACTAAATACCTACCGACACCTAATCTTTGATAAAGGAACTAAAATACTTGAAGTGGGGAGGAGATAAGTCTTTTCAGTAAATAGTGATAGAAAAAAATGGGTCTTTACCTGCAAAAGAATGAAACAGAACCCATACCATGTACAAAGAACGAGCTCAAAATATATTAAAGATTAAGTAAAGTCTAGAGCCATAAAGACCATCAATGAAAAAAGAGGAACAAACTTAACAGCCCTATAGTAGGCATAGATATACTACCAAACATGAGAAATACCCACACTACAGACAATAAAAGAGAGAACTGAGGCCTTATAAAAAGCCTTAAATAAACATCAAAAGAGTTAAAAAGAAAGAAAAAGTGGAAAGGTGTGTGGGGTGGGGGATAAAAAGAGGATCCACAGATTGGGATAAAATATTTAGCAATGATATATCAAATAAAGGGTTAATTTCCAAAAAATCTATAGAAAACTACAACATCTTATTAACAAAACTAAAAATAACCTAATCAAAAGATGGGTATAAAATAAAACTAGATAATATACTAAAGATGACATCCAGACAGCCAACAGTGAAGACATGTTTGTGTTCTTTAACCATAAAAAATGGATAAGTCATTGTGTGCTCACCTTCCTGAAACAATCACTTTAGACAAATGGGTGCATAAGCAAATGTGGTGAAGAAAGCTGATGGTGCCCAGCTATCAAAAGATACAGCATCTGGGGTCTTAAAGGATTGAAGGTAAACAGCCATCTAGCTCACAAGCAACAAAGCCCACATGGAAGAAGCACACCAGCCTGTGTGATCACACGGTGTCAATGGTATCAGGCATCAAAGAACAAAAAAATCAAATCATTGTGAATGAGGGGGAGTACAGATTGGGGACCCAACACCCATCTGTGGACAACTGGACATCCCCTTATGGAAGGGTGGCGGGGAGGAGACGAACCAGTCAGGGTGCAGTGTGGCGACGATGAAACATACAACTTTCCTCTAGTTTTTAATGCTTCCTCTCCCCCACTATCATGATCCCAATTCCACCTTACAAATCTGGTTAGACCAGAGGATATACACTGGTACAGATAGGAACTGGAAACACAGGGAATCCAGGACAGATGATCCCTTCAGGACCAGTGCTGAGAGTGGTGATTTCAGGAGGGTGGGGTTGAAAGGGGGAACCGATTACAAGGATCTACATATAACCTCCTCCCTGGGGGGTGGACAACAGAGAAGTGAGTAAGGGAGATGTTGGGCAGTGTAAGATATGACAAAATCATAATAATTTATAAATTATCAAAGGTTCATGAGGGAGGGGAATGCAGAGAGGGAGGGGGAAAAAGGAGGAGCTGATACCAAGGGCTCAAGCAACAAGCAAATGTTTTGAGAATGATGATGGCAACAAATGTACAAATGTGCTTGACACAATGGATGTATGTGTGGATTGTGATAAGAGTTGTATGAGCCCCCAATAAAATGATTAAAAAGAAAAGATGGATAAGTTAAAACAACAATGAGATACCATTTTAAAGAACAGAAAATAAGCCCTGGAGAGTGTGTGGAGAGATCGGAACATTCATACATTGCTGGTGGGACGTAGAATTGCAGAACCACTATGGAAATCAGTGTGGCGCTTCCTTAAACAAATGCAAATACAAACACCTTATGATCCTGCAATCTCTCCATTTGGTACATACCTTAAAGAAATAAAAACAAAACACAAATAGATATATATACACACTTATTTATTGCAGCACTTTCTACAATAGCAAAAACATGGAAACAGTAAAAAATTCCCACCACAGAAGAATGGATAAATCAGCTCTGATACATTCACACAATGGAATATTAGGCATGAATGGACGCCTGGGTGCATTGACAGGGAGAGTAACTGGATTCATGGTTTCATGGGGGCATGGCCAGGGAGGTTGAGGGAAAATGGGAATTAGTAACAATGAGTACAAGAAAACAATGATTGTATAACTCTTGTTGATATGAAAGAACTATTGATTGTTTATGTGGGTTATATGCCAAGAAACCTGTTTTAAAAAACAAAACTGTCAAACAACTTAAAACACAGACAAAATTAAAGAACATTAAACTCAGCAATATTTGTCAACCTCATAAAGATCAATATTCTATGACACCATTATTATAAAAGAAAATGGAATAAGAAAAGTGGTTTTCACACCATATAAAGCTTTAAGGACTTTGAGGAAGACAGGACAGGGAGGACAGAGGAGGACAGGAAAGTACTGGGGGATGGGCGGAGGGAGACAAGATCTTATATTTATACATCTCTATACAGTTTATGTGTAGCTTTCACATGCACTTTTTTATTAAATCCATTGCTATATGCAGAGATAAGTATTCCTCTTTCGTTTGGAGGAATATGCAAGTAAGGTGAACATGTCTAAGTTCCCACAGGACTTAAATTCAGAAGATGAGGCCATAAATCTCATGTTATTTTTAGTACCGACTAATAGTATCTTAATTTTTATTTATGCTACCCGTTGAATTTAAGAAACCCACATGGGCAGGTCTATGCTATCGTATATGTATCAACTCAATGGCAATGAGGGCAAGGTGCTCATAACTATGAAAAGATGCTTTTAAAAGAGTATTGTTTTGTTATTATTTTTAGTTACTTTATTAATACAGCCAAAAAATCACTGTAGAAAATGTAGAGGAAATAAACAAACACAAATAAACAAATAATTTGTCATTTTACTATTGAAAAGTATCCATTATTAAAAACTTTGAATAGCTCTTTCTTGGCCTTTTTCCATTGTACTTAATATTATTTTTAGCTGCCATCAAGTTGGTTCCTACTCACAGTGCCTTTAAGCATGACAGAAAAACAAACACTGGTCTCTCCAGAGAACATGTCCAAAGTACATGAGACAGTACCTCACCACCCTGGCTTCTAAAGAGTACTCTGGCCATTCTTCATGAAGGGCAGCTTGATTTGGTCGTCTGGCAGTCCGTGATACTTTCAAGAGTTTTCACCAGCAGCACAATTCAAATGCATCGATTCCATTTCAATCTTCCTTATCCAACTTTCAAATGCATATGAAGTGATTGAAAATACCATGGCGTGGGTCAGGCATACCTTAGTCCTCAAAGTAGCATCCTTGCTTGTCAACACTTTTAAGAGGTCTTGTGCAGCAGATTTGCCCAATTCAATCTGTCGTTTGATCTTTTGACTGCTGTTTCCGTGCGCATTAATTGTGGATCCAAGCAAGACAAAATCCTTGACAAGTTCAGTCTGTTCTCTTTATGGTAGTCGAGTTGTGAGGAGTTTGGTCTCCTTTACATGGAGTTGTGATCCACACTAAAGACTGCAATCCTTCCTTGATCCACACCATCAAGTGCTTCGTGTCCTCCTCACTTTCCGCAAGCAAGGATATGTCATCAGCCTATCACAGATTGCCTTCCTCCAATCCTGATACTGAATTCTCTTTCATATAAGCCAGTTTCTCTGTTTACCTGCTCAATCTTATCCCAAGCAGCATAGTACTTCAAGACTGATCTTGAAATGTCCTTTTTAGCTATGAATGCAACACCATTCCTCTTAATTGTGTCATTCCTCGAAGAGTAAACCGTATGATTTTTCTGATTCAGAATGGCCACTACCAGTCCATTTCAGCTCACTCATGCATGGAATATCGATCTTTATGCATTCCGTTTCATTCTTCATGACTTCCAATTTTCTTAGACTCATACTTCCTACATTCCAAGTTTCAATTATTCATTGATATTTGCAGCTGTTGCTTCTCATTCTGAGTCATGGGCTTTGTCCACAGACTTCCGAGGTCTTCATCATTATGGTCAACTCTATTTTGAGGACACAGCTTTTCTGCAGTCTTATGTTTGAGTGCCTTGTGACCTGACGGATTATCTTCTGGCACTATCTCTGACAGTGTT